GACATCTAACAGCTCTTGGTTTTTACTGACGGTCATGGTAGACTATAAATTGATTAGGCGTTCAACGCGAGTATTTGACTTATTGAACCTCCGTAAAACCTGTCTTTTTAAGATATGTATATTGGAGTGCATAAGAAAGGGCTACACCGGGCATGAATTGTATGTCTGACTTGTGTGCCGAGGGACGCCAATGATTGTTATTCAGCACTCGAAGCTGCATCAAGATGTTCCAAAGTTAACGGAAGAACTTGTTCAAATAATTCCCAGGCGTTGGCTCCCTCCAATGTTGGGTCCCCGAGTTGAGATAGTGCAAGGGTTGCCGCATCGTGTATGTGGGGAGCACAGAAGTGGAAAAGAGTATCAGGCACATGTTCTCGGACGAGGCGGTCGATATGCTCAGAGGGTATTTCAATTAGGCAGTGAACCCCCCCGTATAGTTCGGGTTGGCGATAAAATTGAAGTGGTTGCCCACCCGTAGGTAAATTGCTCTTCTTTTGATGTCTTATTCTATGCTTTGCATGCTGATCTGCATACTGGTTCAGTGTATTTTGCACGACTTTCCCCCAAATGAAGCGTGCAACCTCTCTGCACAACGTCAGTCCATAAGCTTTTGCACCCCAGAGATGATCGACTCACTGATGCATTTCGTCTGCAGCATGGTATACACCTCCATGACCGTGCCAAAAGAAGATCAGATTCTCAAGATGTGTGGAGTAAAGGGCTCTCCATTGACGCTCAATAGTGATGTTGTGCGTGCTTTTCATGTGGACGAACGCCGGAACTTCTTGTAGATCCATATTTGGCGCAAACGAGGAGCTGAGGGTGTTCATCAACTTGATGTTAAATTTCCAACTATGATGCACGCACCGAAGGACTTCCTGGACAGCATGGATCTTGCCGGTCTCTGAACCTTTGTCTGCCGTCACTTGGATTGGGACACCTGGATCTTGTTATTGACATTCTAATTGGTGATTGTGCCACATACCGCCCATCTTCTGGACGACCAATAAGAAGCAGCCAAGCGCCGTGTCCGCAAGGCGGTTGTTGCGGACTGCAAAATGGCCAACGACCATCCGCGAGTACTTGTCAACCACCCCCCATATACCAATTCCCATTGTCCTCACGAGCTTATCGTGCCCGTCTACTGACCACTCCTCATCAGGACCAATAGAGTGAAGGGCATGGCGATGGACTTTGCGAGCACCTGGTCGTCTGCTTTGTACACCGTCATAATCCAATATGGTAAGGAACTCGTTGACAAATTTCCTAATTGGTGATCAGCATTTGAACAGGTGAGTTGCTATCGCCAATACCTTGAAACATGAACGTCTCCTGAAGCCAACTTTTCTTGTAGCGTTCTTGCTCCTGCCCTCTTATACGGATCGCCATTCACTAGGACTACCAGAGCGGCACCCGCTTCCTCCTCTGTGTGGTCGGGTTTGCGTACAGATGGTGCATGTAGGTCTAGTTGTCGCTCTAATGTCCGTTTCCTTGGGCCAATCAGATCGTTAAATCACATTTTCTGCGCCAAAAGACTAACTTTATTGAAAATTTGTGCTCGTTTAGCAAGTCCACCATAATCTGGTCCACCGTGAACCGGTCTCTTCGATACTGTCGCAGCGTCTCTGGCCAACCATCCGGGTAGATAACTTCGTATTGTCAGTACTAGAACATGCAGAAAGACAGCAAATAATCACTTTCCCCCCCATATTGGTTGTTTCCTTTGGGATTTGGCGGCATCAGGGTTCAAGCTTTGGGCGGACGTTTCAGGTTGATGCTCCGTTGGGTGACGGAGACCGCTGGTATTTAAATACTTCTCTATTTGCTTCATTCTTTGTCTCACACCTCCTCAATCCTTCCATCAATGTCCTCAACAGCGGTCCAGTGTGAGATGTGCGGTGACCTCTTCCCTAATGCGGCTTTCCAAGGGAATCAATGTCCCAGCTGTATGAATGAAAAGGGAGACCCCCAATGTATTTCATGTGGACTCACCTATCGGAAATTAAAGGGTGATACCTGTGGTAAATGTCTGGTGATCTCTCGTGCGTATCGCACAGCTATATCCCCAAAATAAACAAAGCTAATATTAAAGTGACACACTAGGACCCAAGCTACCTGTTGATTCGAACATTCTTTCTGAGCGAGTTAGCACGGCACTGGCTACACCACCAAACCCACGCGCTCCAAAACACACAGCCTCAGATCACCATGACTTGGAACCAAGGAATCAAGGCGTATATCTTTCAGTGGGTTTGATATAATGTGAATCAAAGAGCAAGAGCTAACATATAGTGTCAACAGGCAGAACAAACCTCAAGGGGTGTTCTTGCGGCTCGTCATCGAGTCTTCCTAAACCCAGGGGCCCAATCGGGGAAACCACCACCAGCACCAATCTCTACACATGCCCGTAATACTCCGGCCTCACTAACTCCTACATATATTTGTGTTTGTATCCAATTGCCTACCTTAGTTAGCTTTGACATTTCAGATAGGTCCGTGATATGACCTTCAATGGCACTCTCAAGAGAACATTCACGCCATGGGTTAAAATGTATAAAGGGGAAACCAATTTCCAAGACGTTTTGGAAGACATAAGACAATATGTCGATGTACAGTGCTCACAGCTGATCCAACCACCACCCCGCATCTATAGCGTGTGTGTGGATATTTATTCATATATTACAAACAATGTTCTCTAACATGACTCAGGGATCAAATCAATTTGCGATTCAAGGCCTCAGGATTGCCTTTACAACCAAATTCACTTTCTCAGCCAATTTCGCTTGTCTACAGCATCCATGCGGCATGTGGGGAAACCTATATTAGGAAGGCTGACAAAATACCGCTGAACATGGTCGTGTATGTTACCCATGTAGGTCCCATCCTGATGCCCGATTCTGACTTGCTGGCTGACATACAACAGAAAGAAGTCGAACCCGACTTTGAGCCCTTTCTGCTTTCCACCCAATTTTCGACCTTAAAAAGGAAGGCTTCAACACAATATGATATGATAGTCCGAGCACGGTTTAAAGGCAAGTCATTTCACGCGATACTAATCCTATGATATCACTGAACTGCAATAGCAAACCCGAGTGCCGAAGATATTTCTCTACCAGTGGATTCATTCACAAAGTTGCAGGTGTATGAGACAACAATGCGCTATAAAGAGGAAAAGAAAGGGGGCATAAGTTCGCTTGACATATCTGAGAAGACGACAAAGGATACTGTTTGTGTATACCTTTATGACGGGTGTGAGTTAGGACGGGGGAGAACCAAGATAGTAAACAAGGTAAATAACTTTTGTTGCAACTTAACAATAAAATGGCTAAATAATGGGCAGCTGTGTCGAGCACTGGGTGGCCCTGCATACACTGCAAAATGGTTCTATCAGGGCGAAGTAGAGGAAAAGCCATCCCTGATTGGAAACTTCATATGGCTCCATGATGAGCTGCGAAGGGCAGTCTTAGCCTCAAAAACGACGGAATTGTTTGTTCAAAAGGCAAAAATGAAGAAAACCTCGATTCATGGTATGTATATTTCAAGAAGTTGGAATCAAATGGGCTCAATATACTCCAGAGATCACGTATTTGGTTCCAGTACTCATACATGAAAAGGCCGAGCCTGGTGAGGGTAGGGTGTGGCTGTCAGACGAGGTGATCGAGGGTGAAATGCAGAAGTTCTCTGGAACAAATAAGGCGGGGAACCATAATGAGAAAGAAGACTTTGCAGGGTTCACATGCGATGCCTTGGCTCACTGGTCACTCATAGTCAATGAATTTGAGCGTGTTTTTGTTGATATTCAGGGTGAGGGGTTGCCTGAACCGTTGTCTCTTGCGACTAACAAATCCACAGGAGTCGTCGTCAAAAATATGAATGCGCTCCCTCAACTTTACCTGTTTGATGTGATGTTCCACACGTATGTATGCCAGCTCAAGTAGTCTGCCAAATATCGACATCCCTTTAGGCCTGACGGCAGTTCTGGACTCGGTGATCAAGGTCAAGTGGGTATCGATGATTTCAAGAAGCAACACCGATGCAACCGCATATGTCGAATGCTGGGATTACCAGTCCTCACAACGCCTCAAGAGGACGAAGCAGACCCTGTGGAATCAGAGGACGAGTTACTCAAGAAATAGTCTCTTAAACTACATTCACCAGTTCGGACGAACATAATCGATTACTCACCACATTACAATCCTCTAGTTGTCGTTCCTATCACATCTCATCTTTTCATTATCTATTCATGATTCTACACTGTCCATTTACCACCCTGTCCAGTTGTCGTTCATAAGACTATTATAGCCTATTTGTCACATCCTGATCACCCTTTCGTCTCCCCTACCCATCGTTCGCTCTTCCTCAGCTATTTCTCCTCTCCTTGATCATCCTTCAATTGCTTGATTCAACTCGAGCAGGTATACCACTTGTCTTCTCGCTTCTTCACTGTGCCAATACGTTCCCTTTACCTACCATCCATCTTATTGTCAAATTATAATGCAGCCTTGGATAAATATAGTTGTTTTATTTGTATATGCGACGGGTGACCGCTAAGGCTCGGGTGCATGGGTTCAGCTTACAGTACGTACAGGCCTATTTATCTACGCTATTACGCTAATAATGGCCTGCTTTAATCACAGAATATGATACTTTATGATAGGGAATGGGCGACGAGAGGTCGGGGACGGGTGGCCGAGAGGTTGACGTGGCGGGCCGGGTGGTGGTGCGGTCGAAGGTCAACCTGGCGGTTTAGGGCCACCGTACATTGGTTGAGCGCCGCCGGGTCAATACTATGAACCATCCAACGGAAAAGAGACCAGAACCAATCCACCCGAGAAATAGAAGGCTTGGTTTACTGGATGGTGCCTTTTCACTTGGCGGGCCTTCATCTGTGTAGCTTGATGGATGGAAGTGTCACTATTTCTTTCAACTCGTCAAGGAACTCGGCTGGGGATGCCGTGATTTATGAGGAAGTAAACAGGAATTCATTATTCATGGGCACATCATTATCAATGTAACAGCAGTTATAAATGCTCTCGATTCGCCAAAGAAAATAAGGCCCTAAGTAACGAGACAGGATATCTAAAGTGAGAAATACAATACAAATCTGACAAGGTGAACCCAACAGAGTCATCAAAGATCGTTTTGAACAGACATTCAAAGGAGTTTTGTACATTTCATGAACAGCCAGAATACGACTTTGTCCTCCGAAGCCGACAGTTGGTCGACTGCTTCCTTGGCGTTTTGTATCCAGCCATCGTAAATGCGAGGTGGCCTATCTCCTTGTCTGGAGCGACATCTTCTAATCGCACAACTACGTCCTTGAGGAGCACCGCTCGCTCGGTACCCTCCAATGTACACCCACCGGTTGCCAATGGGAAATACGGATTATCCCTCGTCATGCTCGAGACGTATCCATAGATGTCTGGGCTAATTACTCGCGTCTCGAGTAAGACACCGGCGATAGCGATGGCGAGCATGGCAAGTGAGGCGACAAGAGCCGAAATGACCCACTCCCAATGGCGTTGATACGTACTTGGGGACAGATTATGAATTGTAGCCTCTGTTGTCTTGAGCCGATCAGTCTGGTTATCTTGGTCGTCAGACGTGAGAGACGTCATTCTGAGTATAGGCGAGACTGTCGCTTGATAATACGTATTGAGCAGAGTGGCGAACCTGCTGTTGAATTCCGCAATGGGCACCTCACGAAGATCCACGGATGTCGTGCTGGCATTCTGTCGTAATTGTCGCGGGTTATAGAGGTAGAGCTCCGTTTGCGAGCTATGCCCTACATAATATTGGCTATTACTCTTTGGTAGTTCTCGTACTATAGTAGCCCAAGTTTCGAAACCGAGCATACTGGCCGGAAATTGGTCGATAGGGCGGTCGATCTTTTTGATCCGAGTTACGCCACAATTTCCAGAAGCACACTCGACCTTGGCAAGAAGGGCATGGGGAATGAGAGTACAGTTGTGTATCATGGGGGACGACCCTACGTTGGAAAGTGTGATCAATGATACATTCCTCTCGGTAACAGTGACTGAGTACTTTATAGGGGGGATAAATTGTGTTTCGAGGACGAAGGAGGTCCCAGCTGGGGGGGGGGAAATATATTGACAGGTCTTGGCTGCTGACACTGGGTCGTAAACATGGTGGTATTGAGGGTGAATGTATAGTTTAATGCCGTCTTGTATGTTTTGGAATCCATTGGAATCCCAATTAGAGACGAGTAGGTCGATACCGTCCCGACTGGTACTCCATCCTCGTCCTGATGATCGAAATCGAGAGGCTCTATAGAGGGGATTTTGATTGCTCCCCATAAATCTGTCGGTCCAGTCTTGATGTCGGGTGATGAAAACAGAGAGGAGGCGTAGAGCCCATTGACCTCCGTACCAACAAGGGGTACTGCTGCCGAACTACGGAACTCTGAGGCACTATATAAATTGAGATAGCTGGTTGTTTCTGTGTTTTCCAGGTCGATTTGCTTCAGGGAGAGCATCCGCAGTATGCTTTGACCTCCTAGAGGCGACAGCGCCCATAGTATACCGAGGACAATACATAACCGATCAAATTGCTTGAAGATAAAGGCGAATCTCAAGAACGAGAAGACCGTTTGGGACCCAATCACGCGTTCTAGTTCCTAGATATTTTCGAAAGAGTCAGTGATTATAGTTTACTGGGAAGCAAACTACACTTACACCCAGATTGACACCTCTTTCAGATTTATAACGACCATATGTCTTCAGACACCAACCTAGGATTGCGCTAAAGGCAATTGGGAATACCGTCGGACCCTGGGTAGGAGCTTAGAGGGGAGAATATAGTATTCTATGTGAGAAGACTCACCAGAAGGCACGCTTGGATAACGAATTTTCCAAATGGACTAGCCCCCTTTGAATGTAGACCGATGGCAGATAGAACCAAAACTATGTAGGACAGTCAGTTCAGTTGAGATATGATGCTTCCAAGCACTTACCAAGAAATATTAAAGGCGGTACGAGAAATAGTATGTATCCTATGCCGTTTAAAATGCGTTTTCCGCACGTGGCCTCGAGTTTTTGTGGCCCAGGCCAGTTTGGAATCTCGATTACGTCTCTTGAATCAACATTAGTGAACGAGGTCTGAGTGGTATCCTCTTTGTGTAGAGCAAGGCTTGTCTTTGGATCAGGTTGAGGCACCCCTGGCTCATTTCCAAGTGAATCACCACTCGATGTTGGTTCCAGTTGTTTAGTTCTGGAGACCAATTCTACATCCCTAGAAGATACAGAAGTGTATTCCCAGTTTGTCGACATTGAAGCAAAGTCGCCTTGCAAAATCTAGTCGTGGGTGAAGCCAAATAAAGTCCCTCTGGTAATTTGATAAAGAAAAGTTGTTTCATTTGGCATATTCATGTTGAGTTATGGCACCACTATCTAGCTACGGAGTGAACTAAGGTGGGTCACCCTGCCACCGCAATTGAACCGGAGGCAACCATAGCCATTGATTGGCTTTCCTCCAATAACGCGCTATTGATTCCTTTATTAGCGAGTTGGCCGAGGAGATTTGTTTTTCTTAAATCTGGTTTGCATTTTGAAAGGCCGTGGTTCATACACTGGCTGTGGGTAAGGCTGAGTCGGAGCCGCAATGGAATAAGGGATGAAATTTTATCATTTAGACCACCCGATTATAACAGCC